ATGGATCAGAATTTCATAAATAAAATGTATGTATTTGTTTTTTAATCATAGCCACTGGAACCATATGGACAAGTTATTCTATATTATTATTATTAGACTAATAATAATTACAATGTAGTACTATAGAATTTCAGTACAAAAAACAAATTTGATATCAACAACCCGTACCGTGACGGAGATCTACCACATACCCACGTGGCAAATATAGACTGATGGGTAATAGTGTTCAAACGGCATCGAACAAATAGGTGAGATTTCAGACTTATTGCTGAGAGGGACGAAACCATGGGTACCACGCGTTTAATAATTCCCGGTTACAAAGAATTATATAAATTAGCCGAATAAAAAAGCGTCAGTAGGTCAGTTACAATTCGCAGAATTTTGAATTGAAAACAATGAAAAAAACCTGCCACAGTTATTTTAAATTTTAATATTCCTTATAGATTAAATTTAATTATATTGTGACGATACACTCGTCATTCAATTATCAACAGTGTAATACAATTATGAAAAACAGACACGAAATAATACACGTTCAGACACGAAAAAAATACTTTCTGTTAGTTTCATGAAAAAATATCGATCGCGTTTTAAGATAAAGAAAAATATGGAAGACAATATTTATTTCGTAAATTGACTCACCTTACGTTTCTGATATACTGTCATGCGTCAGATATACCATGCATATGTATTAATTAATGTAATCAACAACCAATTTCGAACAACACGCAATACGTTCAATGTACTGAAATCCATTTTTATAATTGCAGTTATTTCCTGCAGCCAGTTCTATCTTTAATATCAATCATCTTATGCGGCGGTAGATGTAATATCACATTTCGTTGCTCACTCGCTTTACAATAATAATTAAATGTACAAAACGTTGTAAATAGGTTCCAGTGTGCAAATGAACTCACATTGGGGTTCCATTGAAATAACTGTCTGAAGTCAATGAACGACTATTCACTATTGAACCACGATACATAATACGTCATCTGCACCCGGGTTTGCATTCCGTGAAATTCGTTTCGTTGCTTCTTTACTTCAGCCAATTACTAATGCCACTAACTGTAACTGTAAATTGGCAAGAGGGAATAGCTGGTACAGGTTACAGGAAACAAGCCATACATGGCACAGTCCTCGTTAGTTATCGAATTTAAGATATATAGTTTTGTTTATAGTAGTATAGCTAGAACATAAACATATCAGAAATATGATTATGATGATTGTTTAACATTAAAATGATTGACATTTGTATCTGATCGTCAAAAGAGTATTGAGATATATTGCTCTGGAACAGCATTAATTAAAACAAAATCAGCCATTTTGAATACATGTATAATGAATATATAAAATTTGAACATAATCAGTCAAAGCATGTCAGAGATATGACACTAGAGCTGCATTCATTAATACAAAATGGCCACCAGTCGGCCATTTTAAAAATAAAATGACGTGCATCAGGAACCCATAATGTCTAATGTATCTACCAAGTTTGAACAAAATCCATCCATAAATGCCAGAAATGCTTGATATTTGATGATTTTTTAGCACAAAAATGGCCACCATTCGGCCATTTTTAATATGATCGTCAAACCAATATATCTGTAGATCTATGAGATGATCTATAATGAATATTTAAAATTTGAACATAACCAGTCAAAGCAAGTCAGAGATATGGCACTAGAACCACATTCATTAAAACAAAATGGCCGTCAGTTGGCCATTTTTAATCTTATCCTAAAAACAAAAGGATGTGCATCATGGTCCTATAATGTCTAACGTATATACCAATTTTGAACAAAATCCATCTGTAAACAGCCGAAAAATGCTTGATTTTGATGATTTTTAGCACAAAAATGGCCGCCATTCGGCCATCTTGAATCAGATCGTGAAACAAGTTGATGTGAATATGTATAATATCATGTGTGATGTATGTGTGAAGTTTTATTGTGATGGGTCCAGGCATTTCTAAGATACAGGTTTGGACGCAAGCACACACACACACACACACACACGGACGCCAAAACATAAAATAAAATAATAATAAAAAAGGCATTTACAGTAAAATATAGGTTTTTACACTTTACAGATAAAGCAAATTCCTGATTACATTTTTATAATATATTTTATAATTTGTGTTTAAGAATCTAAATTGGAAATTAGATGAATAAAATAGCTGATTACATTTTACACCTTTCCCATATCTACGAATTTACGTTTTTTATTTATTTAAATTATTACAAAAATAAAAACAATAGATTACAGCTTACGAAAATACCCCTCTTGTTAATGTATTTCGTTGGGGTTAATTTTTTGTTTTAGACTAAAAATACTGCCTATGTTGGGATTCCTCATATGTGCCAAGCATTTCGGGGTTTAGAATTGGTTGCCAGGGGAAAACATGAACCGCATATACAATTAACTATGTTGATGTTCTGCATACATGTAAATGTGATCTGGATGGTTGCTATTGGTACATTTTAGTTGACATGGACACTTCCATTAGAAAATAATAATTGTGCTCTCTGGTTTTTTCTGTTTTAGTTGATAAGGATAAACCCATAATAAAGTTGTCAAAAAGGAGATGTACCATCCAGTATATATTGGACAATATCCCTAATGTTTTTTTCTTGATTTTATTCAAACAAATGAATTGTCACATTAGAGCATATCATATTTCTTGAATACACAAATATTTACACTCTTAATTACTTAAATCTGAAAACGTCAGCCATTAATTGAATTAAAGAGGTTAAGATTAAATTAAAATTATATGTTATACTTTTATTCTTTTTGGTGCAAAAAATTAGAATACAGGAAAAAAAAATTGTGTCACCTGACCTAAATATGAAAAATATACATCTTTTTTTTTTTGCATTAGTTACTATGGTGAAAACATTTTGTCTTGAATTTTGCATTCTGCAAATATTGCTAACAATTTTCGAATTCCACTGAATGATCAATTTCAGGTCTGCATACTGATTGATCGAATAAGTTATTGGTGTCTTTTAATAGGCAGAAACTTGTCAATATTGATCAACAATATTTTCATCTATTTTAACCATGCACAGATCAATTTCATTCAAAGGTGGTACATATATCATGATTGCATTTTTGAGTGCAAAATAATTGTGTTACACATATACAAGTTTTTGTAAAATTAGATGAACTTCCTGTTCTTATCTAAATGCATTCTATTGGGAAGAGATACAAGATGTAATCAACAATATAACTGTGTTTCAAGGGATGCAAGGCCCAAGGATGATATCAGTATAATTAAAGTTAGATATGCAAATTCATTTTGTTCACATGCCACACAAAGAACAAGTCTTCTGGGGCAAATTGTTCATTAAAATTATACAGTCACTTGTGTGAGTGGGAATTATGCAGCCACCAAAAAACATGTATTTGTGACTAAACTATTTCCTTATGTTGACAACTACCAATTTTCTTACAATCGCTAAAATCTTTTTGACCCTTTATCCTTGTAAAATACACAATTCAGGAAAAGCATTTACTGAAAGACATTCCTGCATACTTAACTAAGAAACAAAATGACAAAGAATTCCTGTGCATTATGAATGCATTACACACACTATACTAAAGCTGGGCACTACACATAGTATCCCAGCAATATAATTAAATACTAATGGACACCTTGTCAATAACTTCTGTCAACATGATCACAATTTTAGAAATGTACTATTTTTCTGTCACAAAATAAACAAATCTGAGAGAACCAGCCAAGGTACATTTGTAGTAGGTATAAAACCCATACAGCTGACAGTTTTTAACAAGAAGACGAAAATGTAAATTTGACAATGATAGACGGCGATGACATTCAATCAGTAACAATAACTCTGCTTGACTTTGTCGACAGTGGAACTAAGTATGTCAGCATACAAAACAAAAACATACGCAAGGAAAACTTTGCAACATGAATCACTTTATTAAAAAAAATGCTTCAATACCATAATTGACAATTCTTAATTGAATTTGATGAAGATTAACGCTTTACAAATTTTGTTTCTGGCGATAAAACTAGTCATTGTGCAGTGCGACTTTTGATTAGCGAGCCATGCTTGCATGAAATCAAATATGAATGCAAGTCACTGGCATGTTTCTAATTTAATTGTAACATACTTGGCATGGCTTCAATATCAACACACAAGATACATACTGATCAGTGACAGACAGGTGATGGCAAAAGACATTGTCACTGGAGACTACAAGCAATACATGATATGGTAGACGAGCCGGAAATGTTGTGTTAAAGCCACCACTGGGCAGTCACTGGGGAGCAGTACTTTGAGTACTTGTCCACTACTACAGTCCATTACAGCCTATGTAGATTTCATACAAACTTAGCTTAAAAAGCCAACAAAAAAGTCAAAGCATAAATGTAAACCAAATCAATCAATGACAATTTTTTTGGTAGACATTAAATATTAAACATTGCGTTGCAAACAGATGAAGGATAAGTAGAATGGCTAAGGACTATTTCCATTGGTGATCATCAATTTGTCATTTGATCATGAAACTAAAACCATGGTGTACTGCTTAATGCGGGAAAATTGATAACTTTCATACAGTATTTAATGTACATTGTAGTATGAATATTTTACTGATCTGCCATGGGACCAGATATCCACTGATATGTATCATAACATAATTATTAACACTCCAATGTAGTGAACCACAGCTACAGATCAATCCAACATTCAGTAGCTATAAATGTCTTGATTGATTGATTTAATAGGATGAGATGGAGTACATAGATTCATTTACTCTGCAGGATCCAACCAATGAAAGGCTAAGGGTGGGCAGCGTGGGTATTACGTGGGTTTGGTTGGTGGAAATATCCCAACCAACTCTGGATTCATTTCAATACAATTCTCTTTACCTGAAAACAATTATCAATGCTACCACAAAAAATTACAACCTCATTTGCATATCTCTAAAAACTACAAACAAATGTCTCATGGAAAAACTCAATCAAATTACAAATATTTTTTTTTTTTTACAAATTATTTTACAATCTGTTTACTGAAATATTAACACAATACTATTATATCACCAATAAAGTATTGAATAAAATTTGGTTGTATGTAGTCTTTAGATTTAACCTTTAACCTTATCAGATAAGTTTTTCATTGATATTAATCTTTTATACTGAGAACTGCTAATAATTAAATCTCCAGTCATAATTGTTATGACGAATGCTCATTCCACCACTCACATATTATAACACATTCAATCAAATCGATTTTAGTGCTGCGTAAAATTTAACGTTTAAAATGTATACATATAAAATCATCAGAAAAATAAATAAACCCAAGCAAATGCACAGTCCAACTGACGCCGCGGATGACAATGATATACTGGTTAGTATCCAAGTCTGGTCACCAAGTCTGAAAAATTAAATTCAAAAAAGTGCAATTGATTCATTAATGTTTGGAAATTGGGCAAAGATGCAGAACAAAGTAATTCAGACTGTAAATCAAAAACTAATTTATTATGTTAGGCATCCAAGATTACATTAGCTAGGAAAGGGTTAATAATAAGTGGACTCTACCATTCTGTAATATGGGTAGGACAGCATGCTAATTCAAGGAATCAGAAAATATGTTTCAAATCATTTAAAAACATTTTTATTACCATAGATTTTATATATATTCTATGGTAACTTGGATAAACTGGTATTTACTATCCGAATATTAAAAATTGAAGAACCATATTTTTTCTCTCTAAAACTTTTTCTATAATTTCTTTGTTAATTGTGGACAAACTGGATATAACTGCCTGCATGTCTTGATTATAATTTTAGAAAAAAAATATGAATGGTGATAAAAGTTGAGTTTGGTACACAAAGGGTTAAAAGATTATAGCTAGGCGATGTAGACAAGTATCAAACAGACACCAAATATTTAATATATGTATCCTAAAATAGTAAATCTGAGTGTGAAACAGGAAAGAGTCAAAGACAAGCAGGTGGAAATGTTAATTTTGTACAAAAAAACATAAGAAATTATATGGGACAGGATATTATACAAAAACCCAAGCATATTATTGTTTTTCTTAATTAATTTACTTTCACAGGAAGTTGCTGTTAATTTGGTTTTGTTTTGTTTGTGTGTTTCTGAAATCATGAACATTAGAAAAACACAGGTGCATGTTTATGATTATATAAAATTATTCTTATTCATAAATTTCATCGTTTTGATAATAACAAACATGGCAATAAAATGTCATCATATTAATCACTGTATACAGAAAAGTATCTACCTTAAAAGCTGATACTATGAGAAGCGACATGGATTAGGTTTTGTAATGGCATAGCACATGAGACATGTAATTTCTTTCGATAGCATGATTAAGATAAACGATGTCTCTTTAAAGAGAGTTTCTGTGTGAAGGATTTGTTCGGAGACGCTGTATTTCAGAGTAAGTAATGAAGCGAACAGGTTTGACAAAGTACATTCTTTGTCTCATAAATAATTTGCTGTTAGATGTGGACAGGAATTTGTTTTGTCGATATATATATATGTATTATAAATAGCTATATAAATAGTTTTTAATTACTGATTTTGTTATCTGACTCAAACAACCTCAATTTATGAGATACATAGTCATTGAAAATGACACAGTCCCTGTTGGTATTTTTGAAAAGTACCGGTAACCTCTTATGTGCACAATAACAAAATGGTCAACAATTGGCCATTTTGAATTTGATTTGCATTAGTGAAATTCAACTCCGTAATGGCAGAAATAATTGATTTTGATGGAAGAAATCCAAACGCTGACAATCATTTTGACCTTAAATTTGATTTGATTTGAATTTCCTTTGTTAAGGCTTTAGAATAGTGTTTAAGTTTAAATGCATGGGAATTCACAATGATTTTATTTTATTCCAAATTACTGTGGAGCACAGTAATTTCAATCCCGTCAGATCCACATTTCCCTCCCACATTCAGACTATTCAACATGTCACATCAAGATCCCCAATAAAATGTTATGAATGTTCTCAAAATAAACATTATAAATTTCTATTTTCTGTTAAATAAAAGTGAACAAATCATGGAAATTTGCTCAACTCTGAATTATGAACCAAACAACAATTTAATACAACGTTACTGGTACTGGAAATAGATTCAACTTTGACCTCGCTATATGCTGGTATCTCCAATGCTGTTTCATTTCTAAATTTATAGGAAAATAAGGTGAACGTAGATGCCATATTGTTTGTCAATACCAATTACAAGTTAAATGTTGTCCATCTGACATGTAAACATATTTTTCAGGATTTCATGTATATATATTAACGGAGATTCTATTAAAAGAGATACCTCTGAATATGAATATGAATATTTTTTCAATATTTTGAGAATTTTTCCCCATTACAACTTAAATGTTGTCTTGTGATATTCAAACATATTTTTTAGCCACCTAGGTGCCTTGTATCTTGCCATAGAAATTCTATTATAAGATGGACTTACTACTGGGCAGTATTGAGGATTGCAAAACTGGCACAAGTCATGCTGGTAGACAAAATGTATTATAACAAGGGTAAATAAGAAGCTAAGGGCACGTTATTGTGGTGATATGCATTGAAGATCTCACTAATCGCAAACAAACACGCATTAATAGAAATATTAATGCATTAGTGTGTGAATATGAGAAATAAATAGGTTTTATTTTTTAGCGTCCTTGCCTTCTTTTAATTTTTTTTTCTTAATCTTCCTGAATACCATAATTTGGGTGCAACATTTTTCTAATTAAAATTTTTCTAGTACTTTTAATTTAATTTTGGCCTATTACTAGTATAAGTATGCAATATATTATTTGAAAAAAAAAGTAATGATTATTCAAAAAAAGAATACTACTGCAGTAAGTATACCCCCCCCCCCCCCAAGAATATGCCAATTTGTCACTTTCCACAAAAAAATGTTACCATTTTTTTTTAAATGTTTTGATCAAAACCTACAAGGCAACAGGAACTTAAGTCAATTAGTTGAAATTTAAAAAAAATGTTACACGAAATGTTACACCAACATTTTGGTGAAGACAATTCTGTCATTCAAACTATGAAATTGACTTGCACATGATGAATAACTTGAACATTCTTATTACCTTTATAACTTGCCATTTCATCTTCATCTTTAGTCTCTGTCTTTTTAGCTTTTGTTCCGGCCTATGGTGAAACCAACAAAACAGGACATGTCAGTGGTCATCAATACTACATAAGACAACAGCAAAGTAAACATGATAACAGTATTGCTGTATCACCAATATTAAGAGAGGTTTATGGAATTGCAGTATGTTTTTGGCCATCAATTTCTGGCAGTGTTCAATAATCAAGTACACACTCACTGGCAAAAAATACTGAATTATTAATACATTTACAGTACTATATTCAATAGCATACATGACTGCATGGAATTGACCTGATACATGAAATACTGTAAAACTATTAAATTTTAATCACTACACTATGCTTGTGATTTGACCATTCGATTGAATCCACACTGATTGAATTAAAAAAAATCAGTGAATATAATCTTTCTCAGTAAAATTATCAGCGATACTAAATTTTGTGATTTACTTTGACTCATAAGAATTTTTGTGAGATCAAAATTAAGATACTCAGAAAAAAAATGACTGTGATATAACCAGGTGATACACTGACTTGAATAGCCATCATAATTATACAACCACATCTGATATCTTTTATTTGGGTAATTTACATTGATACAACTAAGTGAAATTGACTAAACTAAATTTATGTGAACATACTTAATTACACTGTAACTCATTTTTTTATTGGCAAATTTGTAAATATGCTCAAAATACAAAAATTAAATAGCAGTGAAAATGAATGCTTTTACAGTAAGTGAATCTATTGGTATTGCTGTAATTGCAAACACATGGTATCAATTGATAAATCAATAAATTCTGCACACGGAGCAGAATAGACATGAGAATGTTATCTCTAAAACAGAGTGTTAATGTATGTGACTATAATGATAATTTACTCCAAATGATTCCACATTCACTGTATGTATTTGAATACAGTAATTAAACCACTTTAATTTTGCTAGACAAACGCCGTGAATATTGTAGCAGTGAATATTTCACTTAGGTCCTTAAAACAAGCAGTCACAGTGACTTTCACTGGTGTCTTTAAAACAGGGAGTCACATCGACTTTCACTGGTGTCCTTAAAA